TAACGGATTTCCGGGCTCAGCTATACTATCCACAGGATAAGCGGGACAGTCAAGGATATAAACGCGAGCTCTAAACGTCTCTGGCGTAAACATGGAAATGATTATCGGGCTACTGAGCATAGTTCAACGAAACCGAGTGAGAGGATGGAAGAGTTGAAACTGCAATGTTCATACTTCGTTCACTTATACCACTCAGAAGTCTGTAGGATAAGATGAGCATACTGAGTGTGCATGAGTGTGCATTTATATAAACATTTTCTACGTGCTTTTATCCGTTTTCTGTGTTATGATAAAATAAGAATGGCTCGCCGTGTCTGTTTAGCTTTGTTCTCTTTGCGCTAGCACCCAGTTGGCTGTTTCTCATCACACGTGGCCACATTATTACTCTTTCTAAAACGCCTGGCGACTCATCTTCATTTGCATCGCGGCCACAACTCAGCAGAATAATGCCAGTGGAAATGAGTGCCATATTTCAGCACATTTAAGTTGCAGAAATGCAACACAATTACAAAACGGAGAGAACCTTTTCTCATTCAGTGGGCTTAGCGTTTATTTCAGTGGCACACTGGAAATGTCTTCCCTGATAACTGAGAGCAGTGCTCTATCGGAATGATATGTTGAGCGGGATTGTGTCGCATCGATATCTTGCGCTGAATTATTTTATTTCGCCATTGCAGGGTGTCTTCTTACGCACATAACTTTCTTCCAACTGCCTTTTCCATTCAAGCCAAAGCCAAAATGTCGTAAGCCGTAATCGCCACGCCATATGTGGAAGGCTTTTGGTGTCAATACATACATACATACATACATACATACAATAAAGTTTTGCTTGAGGATTTTTTTTTTATTTCAAAGAAGTTTTGTACACCATGCTAATCCACTTTAATCAATGCTTCAAATTCATTCGCAGTTATTGACTCTCGTCTTATCTCATCCTAACCACGTCGAGTCTATCTCACTGCCGGATGGCTACCCCCTGTGACTCAAGACGCGGCTGAACTTTTCTCTGTTGAGATGATCTCACACATTGACAATGTTTGTGGCGTTTGCGTCATTACGTGTTCCAGAGAGCACAGTCGTCTCGAATCGCTCCCAAGTAGTGCGTATGTCGCGGTGTCTTGGCGTACCGTCTTTGAGGTGAATCATCAGTGGAGTCCTCCTCGGAATAATTGGCCGTTGAATCTTTATGATGCTTTCATATCTTCATTTTGTTAAGTTCTGATATTTTGACGTTTTTATGTAAGATATTTTGAAGGAAAGACAACCATTCGACGCATATAGCATTTAAGCTAAACAATGTTTTAGTTATGAAATCACGTCGATAGCTAGGGATGCTTAATTGTCCGGAGCCATCCCGTCCAGCGAAGGCTTTCTCTTGACCTGTTTTTTTTTTTTACCTTGATCAACCCACAAGCCCAGGCCTCCAAGAGCTGCTGGTATATTTTGGGACATGCTAACGCCTGGTACACATTTATATTCACATTCATATTTATTTTTACAAACGCCTTCAACAGCATTCTTCTTGAGCGTTGAAATCGTCACGTAAACCGATACTCGACTCCAAGGAATCAGCGATGACCTCATTGCAATGTTTGTAGCATTAGTCTCGTGGTTGACTGACATTATGCGCATGTTTATTGTCATTACCCATGGTAGAGAGAGCGTTGTGGAGATGCTTTGAATATGGTATGTGGAGGGTGTTTTTAATTGCTAGCAGCTGCCATGAGTCATGTGAATCTTTGATGACATCAGGCGCAGATGACAGGGATTGTTTTGTGCATCGCCCTTCCTCTGCTTTTATGTAATGACTTATAGACTAGAGGCCTGCAACCTGTGGTGATTTAATTTGAATATTATTTTGTAAGCAGCCCCTTGCTTCGATCATATTATTGATAAATCTACGCAGCTCCATCCGTCAGCGCTTAGTGCAGATGCTTTTCCAACATTGTGAGCCCTTACAACTATTGACTGGTGACCAAATTTTCTGGATTGATGATGCCTAAAGTTGACAGTCTGCTAGTGAACAGTGAGCACTGAACAGACGCATTTCCAGCATGCCGACCTTACATTGTAAGAGCTTAATGATTTGATCCTTGGAACGACTTACCTAACTCGAGCAGGGCGAAGATGATTTAATGCGTAAGGTGAACATTTTGTAGCCGCGGCGGCATTGATCATTTGATGGGCGCAACCTTTCACAAAGAACATAGAAAATAGTACGTGCTTCATTTTTCCTCTCAAATATGACGACTGCTTTGTTCCAATAAAGAAGGATGCTGAAGCATCAGGCAATTCGCTAAGCCACTCAAGGCTACAATGCTGATGTTCTCCTGTGATTTCAATTATGCATTCATGCCTGACGAAACCAGATTCAAGAAGCTTGAATATGAAATATGTTGTGACCAGTTGAAGCAAGCGTAACCAGTAACCACCCACAGAAGTTGTTTCCTCGTGCTGGCCTGGCAATTTAGATACATATAAACATGCAGATGCAGACAGGTAGGCACACAAAGCGTCCCTCAATCATCACCTTAGCAGCACAACTTTATCTTTTTACAGTGCATTTTCTACCATCCGAACTCTAGATTCGTCGTTCCTTTTGGCCCTGGCACGCCCTGTTTTTCTTTTGTCTTATGCTAGATAGCTGCCACACGTTTCAACGAAACTACTGTGCCATGCCTGTTGATAAGATAGAAAATGCCCCTCCTTTTGAAATGTCATGTGCATTGTATACCTCCTTCAACTGCAGACGAATCCAATATTTACCTGCAGGCGCATCCTGTCAATTTTCATATATTTGCTGGCTGGAACCCTGTCCTCCCTGCCCCGGACTGTCTGGATCATATTCCATCTCTCAGCTGAGACTCATTTCCAACTGAATGGTTTCTGGGAACGGCTGAATATGCTGCATGTCTAAAACGGGTGGCATCTGGCGCAGTCGTCCGTTTATGAAACTGGACGTTTTGTGACGTCGTAGCTTATAAAGGTGATGACACACGCTTGACCTCTTAACCAGGGTACAGCCGGGAGAGGGCTCAGGGTTCTTCTTTGCGGCAGCACCGCTACACAAAGGTCAATGACTGTTATATGTGGAAATGAGAAGAAGCTCTGGCGCGTGATTTTGTTACAATGTTTCCCTGATTAGCCTGAGGTTCACTTTTAAGCCTGAAACAGACCAAATACATTGTAATTCTTCTCGCATCAATCGCTTGCGGGAGGTGCGTGCGATTGATAGTTACGAGCGTGCTTCCATGTATTTTAATAGGCTCTCGCATGCGATTTCCTGACTGCGGAAAGAGTCTGTTTCAGGCTTAAAAGTAAACCTCAGGCTAGGGTTCACATGCGCATACGAGAGCCTATTCAAATACATGGATAATAATTTATAATAGGCTTTGGAAATTTGCTGATGACATTAAGCTGGCAAAAGCAATTACATCAGACGAGGACATGAAAACATTACAATCAGATTTAAACATTCTTTTCAATTGGAGCAGAAAATGGCAGATGGAATTTAACGTAGAGAAATGCAAAGTTCTTAGCGTTGGGGTAAATGAAAATGATCGATATTATTTAAACGGCAGTCAACTGCAAAATGTTTTTGAGGAAAGAGATTTAGGTGTTTTAATCACAAATGATCTAAAATTCAGTCATCAATGTCAAGAAGCCCGTAAAAAGTCTCTGAAAATGTTGGGAGTAATATATAGAAACGTTAATTATAAAAGTAAAGACGTTATGAAAAAACTTTATTGTTCTCTTGTTCGTCCACATTTAGAGTATTGTGCACAGGCATGGTACTCGCCCTTTAAAAAAGACGCTAAGTCTCTAGAGCGTGTGCAGAGGAAGGCCACTAGGATGGTGCATGGTTTTCGCGGGATGACTTACAGAGAAAGGCTTGTCTCGTTAAATATGTTTTCACTCCATTACCGGAGAGTGAGAGGTGATTTGATTGAATTGTTCAAAATTTATAGAGGTATTGATAAGCTAGATTTTAAGAGCTTATTCACGATAAGTTCGAACTCTACAAGAGGACATGGATGTAAATTGGTAAAGAAATTTTCAAAAACGCGTTTAAGGCAATCCTTTTTTACTAACCGCGTCATTGATATGTGGAATAGCTTACCTCCTTGGGTTATTGATAGTTCCTCCCTTAACAAATTCAAACATAACGTGGATTTGTATTTTACGGAGCGTGGTGCGGTCTTTGACACCATTGAAGACGTAGACAACTCTGATAGGTTTCGTTGTTAGGATACACTCATTGCATTCATTGTCATGTAAATCTTGTTCAGTGTGCATGAATGTGTACATCACTGTGTATTTCATCCTTGTAACCTTGTTGGGCTCCTGTAGCCTGTTGTTACATTGTAATATATGTTATGTTATGTTATGTTATGGAAGCACGCTCGCATCAATCGCACGAACCTCCCGCAAGCGATTGATGCGAGAAGAATTACAATGTATTTGAATAGGCTCTCGCATGCGATTTCCTGAACGCGGAAAGAGTCTGTTTCAGCCTTGAGGGTCTTGGTCTTAACAGTGCTGTTATACCTATAGTTATTCAATTTTGACGTGTCGCATTACCGGCTTTCGATCAAGTGATCGAATGTGATCGAAAGTGATCAAGCACTGGTGCTGCGAATTGCAACTACCTATGTGACTGGCTTGGTTGCATCATAATATAAACTTCTGACGCTTACTTCACCCCTGCGTGGTTGTGGGAAAAATGCACTGAGGACGACATAAAAACATAAAATACCACTACCTTTTTGTGAATCTAACAGTCGATATTTTCTTTCGCAGACAAAATCGACGGTGACATCGTCATCCCAAACGACGAGTATGAGAGAGAGCTGGCACAGCAGCGGCTCGACGACGAGCTGCGATTGGCTGATGCCGCCGTGACGTCACTGGCTTCCAAGGCGGCCCGAGAGGGGCCGGGGGACTTGGAAGCCGCCATCGAGCCCTCGGGAGTGGATAGGGGGCTAACAGCGACGCCCCTTTCCGCGAGGGGCAAATGTGTGCGCTGTGATCCGGACTGCTGGGGTAGCAGGAGGCATCGGAAAAAGTGCGCACATAAAAGGAGAAGTCGAAAGAGGAATCGGCATAAAAGCCGGAGGAGGGGAAAGTGGAGGAAAAAGGGAAGGAGGAAGGGTGGTCGACGCCGGAAAAATAGGAGGCTCCAGAAGAAATGGGCCTATCAACATGCACGAAGGTGAGTTGGTTTCATCTCCACACCCCCAGACTCGGACATTTCAGTGACTCATTTTGACATTCTACCTGCCCTTCCATTGTAAGCCATTCCGAGTGATTATGGGATCATTATAATGACTGATATCATGGCGCGCTCTTAGTCTCGCATCACTTTTCTAATCCCCGTATCATCAGCTTTTTATCATCGCTTTCCGTTTGCCGGCTTTCTTAGAAGCTCATCCCCAGCACAAACTACTACACGATCGTCCTATCGCTACCCTTTCATCATCGATTCACTTGCTTATGCTCGATTTCACGTCATGCGGTACAGTCTACCCTCCAGGCATCCTGGCTGGGTAGACTGTACCGCGGTACACGTATGCCCTGCGGCACAGTCTGACTCACGGCGCTCCCAACTCGTCCTGTTGGAATGGTGACTGGACAAGTGTTGGGGCGGGGGGAGGGACAGAAACTGACTATTTGGATCGAGTAGACTGATTTACAACGGTGATGCTTTTCTAAGACAGTTACTATATCCTCTTGAGTCCCGCCAATTCGCCCATGAATGGAGAGCAACGAAACTTTTTTGGCTGAGAGCTTTGGTGCCAATAATGACCAGATTGGTGACATTTCAGCCGTGAAGGTCATCGCGCATGCGCAGTGACATGTATACTGGGATATACAAAAATACTCAAAGCCTATAAAATCTGACTGAAATGCAATCCATGAAAACTTCCATACAAACACCAAAGTGTATTTTTTCGTTTGTTTAGGACGTAAAATGGCTAATAGTACTGACACGTTTAATTATCAACACCACTCGCCCTTAACTTCAGCTTCTTCTGCCCCTTGCCCACTGCTCTTTGGTCTTTAGTTGCCATTTCCTTTGAAGATATAGAACTTGTAGCACCTGTTGCGAATCGATAAACAGTAGAGGAAGACCTTGCAGCATTATCTGAAGCGACATCTCTAAAAAAAATTCGCCGTATGGTGTGTTTTAGAGAGGTGCTTGCCTATGTCATTGTGCTTAGGGGTCGGATTCTAATTCATCGGGCGATTTATCAAACTTTGAGTGAGGATCTACGGTCATTGAGGTCGCCAACGATTCGAAGAATGTTAACGCTCAACCACAGAGCCATTTGAAGGCATAATGTTGTTTGTGAGCCACAAAAATGGCTTTAACTGACCCAGCAACCATGTATACTACAATATACATGACTAGTTCTAGGCACAGTCCGTTGTATACTGACGTTTACATTTCTTCGTCGTGCAGGATCCCGTTGGTCACTCGGGTGTACATTTATTTTTTCAGAGGTCAATTCCTCCGAATAATTGTAGTGCTACTTCTTAAGCACGTCTCAAAATTTTTCGGGCCAAGGACATTTGTATACCTTAGTATACATGAACTTTAATTCTTTCTGGAAAAGTTCCAAACACACAATTTTGTTTACAAAACCTGCAAGCAATGATCAACAACGAATGGTTATGTTAGCAAAACAACAGTTGTCGATGAGTCATTCTCTTAAAAAGAAATAACAGGAAAATAATTAGGAGACGTACCTCTATGCTGCGACCGCCGGGATACCGGGAAGATTGAAACGCTGAGGCGTCAACAAATTCAACTTGAGGATATAAATTCAGCCACCAGGTGGCGGACCATGGCATGAAGAATGCAACGCATGGCCATGAAATAGCCTAGCCATTAGTGAATTCCGTAGAGATCGACTTAAGACGATGTATACCCCAGTATACAAAAAGAACCAAGAGGATATATACTTTTCTAAAAATATGCTGCATAAGTCTACTTTTACTTGAACGTCGGTCACAAGATCTTCCTTTTGTTTATCTATTGATCCAAATTTTTAAACTGCCCGAAAAATGATATACATCCTGCTTAGAAAACAACATCATTACTTATTTCGGGCTTTTGTATGAACCGCGCCTTCTCAGTGAAACCGATCTTATATGAGATTCGAATACCACCATGCAGACAAAGGCGCAAGTTTTCACTCCGCTGTTTTGGTGACCCCTTGGATCTTCTGTGAGCCTCTTTCTGCGCCGTTCGCTGTGCAGGGACTGTGCGCCTATGACGTCATCTAGCTGTGTGTTTATTTGGTCGGTGACCGAGTCATGCCCTGCGGGGGGAGGGGGGGGGAGTGCGCTAGGCATTGTTATAGTGCTGACTTGCAGACAAAACACGCTTACTTCGAAGTTGTAAGCTAGGAGTCGGGCTATGGGGCCAATCATTATCGATTGACCCACTTTTTGCATGGTGGGTGCGAATTTTGTTACTTCAAAGAGCGTTGTGCATTGTGCAACATATTAAGTGCGTGTCTTGAGGTTTTGCTCTTGTAACAACGTTCAATGCTCTTTCGTCTCATATTTCTTAAACCGTACATATCTCAATCTAAAGCAAGAGATTTTAGCAGTGAACGAACATTGGAAATACAACGCTGATCGCGAAACCAAGATAATTTACGAATTTTGAAGTCAATCAGAGACGCTGAAAGGAGCGTAATAAAAATGTAGTTGTCGTGCGTTTCACGTTTAGTTTATATTACACAAAGCAAGTCATAGGTACATACATCAGACCAGTATGGTAGGTGGAAGCCCATCAACTAGCATGGACGGCGACACAAGTATGGCGCTAGATCTGGGTCAGACATAATGTCGCGATCTTCGGTAGCAGTATAATTATTTATATTTAACCTTCGCCCCATTGGGGGGGGGGGGCGGGCGGGGGGCATATCTTACCACCCTGTCGCGTTTTTTGCGTGTGAATAAAAAACCGCGGCTAGCTTTTTGTACATCAATTTTGAACAATGTGTGAAATGTTTGACCCCAGGTCATGTCAGGTCAGGTCACCAGGTCAAGTTAACTGACCAAGCCTAAAAAATTGCAATCATGACCAGCCTGCAGTGCTTGTCAGAAAGGTTTTAAACTTGGTGGATTGCATGATGTTATGGGCGCATACAATTTGTATATCTCTGATTTTTCATATCCGTGACCTAAGGTCAGGTCAGTAGCTTGACCTTTCCATTATTAGTCAATGGAGATTGGAGAAAACGAAAATGACTCTAGATCCGTGTGTACGCATAGGAACAGTCCAAATATTTCAGAATCACAATGATTTGAACCACCCGTGACGACCAAGGTGTCTTTTTTGCTGATAGCCTCTACATAGAGAGGTCATCCGAGGTCATTTGAGGCTACAAACACATTTTTGCCAATAACTCTCGATTGGAAAGAGATAGAACGCTTGGGATGGCCTCATTGTGTTTGTCTTGCCGAGACGCATCAACTGATATGCAACATGACCTTTTCCGATCAGGTCATGACCTTGACCTGAGGTCAAATTTTCAAGTTGACCTTTCAAGGTCAAATTATAGTTCATTCGACGCGTCTCGGCGAGAGGAACACGATTCTGGCAATAGAAATGTCGTGGCTTTTTTAAGTCAAAAGTTATTGTCGAAAAACACTTTTCGTAAAAACAGTTATTTTTGGAGTTTTTGCCCTCTGGAGGCTAAACCACTGACCTGAGGTCATTTTTGATAATGACCTTATCAAAAGAAGAGTTCAAAAGCTATCGATTGCTTTTCTAAGCGTTTTTCTAGCTATTATAGTTCCTGAGTGGCATGTTTTCTGAAAAATATTATGACAATTCGCAAATTTTGACCTTTGATGACCTCTGTTGACCCCAATATTGCTCTAAGATGAAAAATATTGAAATACCTTCAAACGGACGCATCAAGAGCTATCGACTGCTTTTTACCGTGTCTTTCTAGCCCTCTTAGTTTTTGAGTCAGAGGTGGGTGGTAACATATGTCCCCCCCCCCCCACTAGTGCGAAGTTGGCTGATACCGCCACTGGGGCGCGGGTTAACAAATCCCCGGGAAGTATGCGTATGCATTGCATACCCTTCTTCCTGGGTAAAGCTGATATTTCGAATCGAACGGCTTTCTCTTTGTCGGCTCTTCAAACGAGTTGAAAGCACGGCTGCGAATATGGCAGCACTTTCTCCCTGTCTGGCCGCACCGTTTGTCGGTGATGGCCGACAATGACGGCGACAAACGGCGCGCGTTACTGCGACAAATGTGCGCCACTTTTTGTCGCAGCCGGCGGCTTCCGTTATTGTTTTTGAGCCGCCGAGCTGTGGTGTTGGCAGTGGTTTTGTTCCGCTACTTTGGGCAGTGCTTGATGTAGCCGTTTCTCTGGGCTTGCTAAACGTTGTCATTTTTTTAGTTGCACGCTTATCTGTTCAAGGCATCACATATATTGCCTACTTCAACAGCTGATGAAATATCATGTTACACACGCTGCCCCTTTCACAACTTACTCACAACTTCCTCTCCCAAAAATGCGTGTCTCGCCGTGTTTCCCCACTTGGTCAGCACCAGTACTGTCTCGGAACTGTTATTGGCAGAGCAGTTTCGTCGCCATGCCTGGCTGCCGTAGATAGCAGAGTTTCTGCTAATTAATTCAGCTGTGATCGGATTACGTCCTCCCGGTTGGAAGGTGGGAGAAGTGAGAGGACTGATACATATAGAGCGTGCGAAGCGTTACAGATTTGGTTGTGCTCACATCGTCCTTTGCTGAAGAAAGATGAATGGCATGATTGGGGTGGCTGACGGGGGCTTCATATTTTGATTTTACACTATCTATTGCTTATTGTTATCGTCAGTGTTATCATTTTGGGCGTGTCATCAGTGTTATCATTTTGATTTTACCCTTTTTGCTCGTTTACGAGTTTTTTTTTGCCCTCGCCAACTCTAAAACGCCATGATAACGATTCCATGATCTCTTCTAAATGATTGTAAACGGAAGTTGCAAGCACTCTTATCCACGCAGTTCCTCTCCTGAGCTGCTTAGCCTCAAACATTGCCATCATACCAACGCCGCGTTCCGTTGGATCTTACCAATGACTCACTCTGTGAGATCAATCCCAACCTACGCAGTGAGATGTCCCTCTGAATCATACGTCCACACACGTCTCACGCTCCCCGCCAGTACATCCATCAGACTTCAGCTACACGTGCATTCCACCCATTACAAAGTTATGCTTGTCTCGTAGTACCTGTCTGAATTTTACTCATGGCCGAAGCTCATCAAATTAACATATTTACCCGTCGTTCACTTGCGCCTGTGTTTATTGGAAATTCCACTCACAGAATATGTGATGATTGGGTCCGGTTTTCTCTGTTGAGTTATACGCTTCAGGCACGCTGTGGAATCAGACACAAGGATGGTTACGTATCCTGCATGTAAATCTGCTGAATTTTGTGTCGGAATTAGTCATTTATCGTTACGTTGGTGGCCGGGTTCAAAGCCCTGAGTGAAACGACGGAGAAGTCGAATGACCTTGGGTGTTGTACGCTTTGGAGGAAGAAAACTCCAGTGAGCTCTTGATTCAACAGGATTCTGTCCTTGGAATTCCACACAAACACTAACAGCTACTGTTGTTCTGCTTCAGTTATTAGTTCTCGACTTATTGAGATAAATTATTTGTTCAATCTGTTTTATGCATTCTCTTAACCTTGAGAAGAGAGAGAATAGAAGCATACATTTTGATGTGATTTCAATCGTCTTTTTCGTGTGACTCTATAAACATTATATGCCATAATCAAATCTTTTACGAGAGCCTTTTCCATGTCAATTACAAACCTGGTGATCAAGTGCTACTCTCCTAACACCACCATCTGACCTTCACCCTCTCTGTCTTCCACAGAAACACCACTCGAGCTCGGCAGCGGGGCAGCAACCCCATCACCAAAATCACCACCAACTCTATCGGCTCATCACCAACCTCAACCACCGGCCGCGTGGTCCAGCTCCCATCCTCCGCTCCTCACCATCGACAGAAGAGGGCCGCCACCGCCCGACTGGACCGAATCTGGGCCCACGGGGTGATCCCCTATCAGATTGATGATGAGTTTAGCGCCGAGCACAAGGCGCTGTTTAAGCAGGCGATGCAGCATTGGGAGAACGCGACGTGCATCAAGTTTGTGGAGCGGGAGCCGGAGCTGCATCCCGACTGGATCGTGTTTGCGGTGCGGGAGTGCGGGTGAGTACTTGGGGGAAGGGAGGTATGGGGACGGGGTGTAGACTGTATAACTAGAATGGATGGCGCTGCTTCGTGTGTACTTCTTTTCGCATTTATTTTGAGACTTGTGCGTTCGAACCAGCACTGCTATCCATAGCTGTGGCTAAACACATTGAATGCTCAAGAATATTTGTTTTATTCAATAGTTTGAAATGTTTCACAAATCGGTCGTGTTTGTGATTGTCGCATAAGTCGAATTTTACGCAAGAATTCAGATGAACCCTGCGTTCCTAAGTTCGTGCTCTTCGTTCGTCCATGCTTGGCTCTCATCACTCCAAGTCAAGATAGATTGTTCGGAAATCCCACCTGGAATTTATGCCAAACTATATTTACACCGCCCTCGGTGTCGTGCATTATTACAGATAACAGTTCTTAAATTGTAATGAAACATTAAAGTCATGTAAGTTGTATGTTTGTTCATCATTTGCATTTAGATAATACCATCTTATGAAACAGCTCACTAATGAACTAAGGTGTAATTGAATGAAGCCTATTGTTGTGTTGTTAAATTCATTTATCTTAGAGCCAACCGCTCTGAGGGATCTATTAAGAACATAATAAATTGCATATGGTTACGTAAAATTATTTCATGACATTCTTTCATGTCATGCGTAATGTAGGTAAACCCATTTATATTATTTCCATATTACTTTGAGATATAAATTGAGAGTTGAATCATTTGTGGTTTTACGAGGTAGTTGCTCACCGCAATATCTTGCATAATTTTCACATGCTCTCTCTCCTTTCGCTGTTTCGTTCAATGTCCACCCTCTCCCAATCTTTACAACCCGGAGAGAACCCTCCGATGAGTCAGCTGCCTCCCATTGATATGACGTCATCACACTTCCTGGGGAGAGTGGGGAGGACGCTCCCGTCGGCTGTCCCCTCCCCACACCGGAGGTCTGCCCGACTGCTCCCGCCCCGGGCCCCGTCAGGGGAGGAGGCTCCCGGGGAGTCTGTCAAAGGATCCGTCCCAGACGGGGAATCGGTCTCGGTTAGGTTGTTAATTCTCTGCAATTGGCGGCTATAAACGCCCACGCGTATAGCGGGAGAGTCATTGGATTTCTCAGAAGGTTAGGGATGATGTTCGGTGATTCAGTGGTAGTGATTTGATTGCCATCTGATTTATTCGCACCGTGTATGCCGATGAGGGTTAATTTCAGACAATACCGCGTCTCAATGTCCAGTAAAAAAGTGAATCACGCGCTTGTCAAAGCACCGATAAAACACTGCTAATTTTTATCATGTTTTTTAGTTTTATGTCAGAAATTCACTTTGGTTTCCCAGCAATAATAGCTGACATCACATAAATAACACACCAATATGCTGTGGCCCGGAACTTGCGTGACAAAACATTTTTTCCGCAGTGGATCGCGTATTTACGAGTCATTTTTCTGCAGTGCGTATGTCTCTGCGACCTGTAACCGCTGTCCATACTCACAGGTGCTGTTCATTTGTCGGTCGTCGTGGCAACGGTGAGCAAGCCATCTCGATCGGGAAGAACTGCGACAAGTTCGGTATCGTGGTGCACGAGCTGGGCCACGTGGTCGGCTTTTGGCACGAGCACACGAGACCTGATCGTGACCACCATGTGGAAATCTTCACCGAAAATATCATGGAAGGTGAGTGGGTGATTGACGAGGCACGTACTTTTGCTCTAAGTATCATGGAGAATGTGTTTATTCAACATAACACGTGCTTTTCAGCCAGAATGGCATTGATGATGCGTTCGTCAACATTGCTGGGAAGAAGGCCAGCTGAACCATTATGCTATTTTTAGCTCTAACTATTGGTAGCTAAAAGTGGTTTCTAAAGATAGCTACACATTCGTTAGGTATTTATAGGGGAAGGTCATGCCATTATTCCCAGAATACCGGCATGATTCTTGACCAAAACACGATGGTACCCATCTTCCTCCCACTCAACTCCTCAAATTGAATTCCTGACGTGTCATGGGCAAGTAGATGCGTTATAAGACCGTAATTAGCATCAATCAGTCAGCTTGTGGACAACTCTGTGGTCAGTCTTTCAATAATTTTATGAGAGGCATTCCTTTATTCAGTTATTATTTTCCCAGTCGGCTGTGGCATTCGCTCGAGCGCTATGGCCTTGGCGCATCTTACGAGCTGGCTGCAACTGCGCTTTCAGCCTTTGGCTGAGGCGGTGACGGCTTTAATTTGGTCCATTTGTTCTGGACACCAGTGGAGATTAAAAAGAAAGCCAGCAGGACAAGCTGTCTCTGTTCCGTGGTGACCAGACTCGGACGGAAGTTGGCTAACACCAGAACGGTCAAAATGCTTGATAACCAAGTTACTACGGCGCGATTTAGAGTGGAAGATTTGGTTAGAATGGGGTTGGGAACTCGATTTTTTAAGAATGCATTAAAATGATCAAACTATTTTCACAGAATTTATGGTGCATACCATTGCCTCATAAAATCAATATGCTGAGAGAAATGGGGGAAGAAAGATAGGAAACTTGTTTTGAAAAGTTCTTGAAAAAGATGCTCTTGATGCTGTTACGTCACATGTCACCTTCTGCGGTTGACAAATAATGGCGCATCTGGCGCACCACAGATTACATGTTATATCAATGGGTGAAAGATGTTGTTTGTTTCACTCTGCCATTCGCGCTGTTTTTCACTTTAAATTATGCTAAAACATTTACGGATGAAATGTTCAGTGTCAAAAATTGATGTGTCTGCCGTGTACTATATTCCCACTTAACATTGAGCGCGTGATAAACATTTTATGTACCTCGAATTTTCAAATGATAAAGATGATGAATCGGAGGATGCTGAAAAGCAAAAGCTCATTCCAATATTTGGACTACTTTACGATTAAAATGTTTACATTCCTGTCATCTTATTGATCATTTATTTGTTCTTTTTTATGAAAATAACTTAAGGCGTTGAGAACCGAGGTAATTTCTATCTACCGTGCCTTAACTTACCAGCAACAGCAATCTATCTACGCCCTACGGTGGCAAGGGAGACTGTGAAAGAAGCGTAAGATGGATTCTAAACAATTCTTTTGTGATATACTGAAGGGCAAAGTGCAGAGAAGAGCGTACAAGTCCTGTTTTGTGCCAGGCTGTTGCAGTAGCACTTATGAAACTCCGAAAACGATCTTCGTTCATGTCCCGAACAACATTACCCTGAGGAGATGATCGTCTGCAATAGCAGGAAGAGCTGATGCAAGTACTTTGAAATCCACTATCAAGTCGGTGCTATTGTTGTAATGATCACTGTGAGGTGAGATATTTTGTGCAAGGGCTGAGTGTAATACCCAGGAGATGACTTCCATTCGCCCCCTGACCGGTCAGGGTTATAAAATTTGAGTGGATGGCGGTCCGTTTGGGGTTCAGATGTCAATTGTATTTTGTTACTGTCAAACAATACATGTTATGCTGGCAGCGAATGTGTGTAACGTCGGTTTTCGAAACAGAAGTTAGAACTGTAACGGCAGAGTGCTTGCTGGTCTCATCGTAAGTATTGTAAGTGTTGTAAGCAAAAGCATTGTCAATATTGTAAGTATTGTGAGCATTGATGTATGGTAGATATCACCTCACATGATCTCGGCTCAGATAACCCTCCCCGGTGATCCTGTCAGTAAATGGCACCTGGATCATTACAGATAAGATAATTTGTCATAATTCTTAAAGAATTGGGTGGTTTTGACTCGTTTACTCGAGGTGCAGGTCGCATTTCAATACTTTTCCATAGGCTTGCAATGTAAAGGTCACGACTCTGACCTAACCTCAGGTCACAGATCAAAAATTCTGAGATATACAAACGACACATACTGCAGGTACTGTTTTGAAGACTTGATGAGAGGAAATAACTTCGTGAAAAACTCAAGCTCTGACGTGTTTGCAAACTTTTCTGAGGTGGGGTCAACAAACCCGCTCTGGTTACCTGACCTGACCTGACCCGGCATTTTTTTATGAGATGTGCGCAATGAGCATTTAGGAAAAGTCATCAAATATGAGCTGAATGTCTCGCGGCGTTTGGCAATTGTACAAGAAAATCCTGAAAGGCCTCCCCGTCCGAAATAGGGTTAATGTGTATATGAAGAGTTGCAGATGCCAAACATACCCAGATCTAAGACTGCAGTTCCCAGCGCCGCTGCAACGTTTTTAAAACAAACATACATAGGACATACAAACATGTTTATTTGCATCTGTTTTGGATAATAGCAACTCATGGCGCCATCACCCACGATAACTGTTAGGATTTGAGATATATTTTTTTAGGCCATTAGTTTGGCTGTAATGTTTATTAATATTAGTTGGGCGGAGTTTGGTAGTTTTTTATTTAACTTGTGGTATGTTGTGCTGATTGCGGGTTGTTCAAACCTTTCAAATGTAAGGACCTTATTGAACTCAACCCTACCCCTACACTACCCTACATACGACTGGACGCTTTCCAAGCCCACAAGCATCACGACGCCGAGATGGAATGTAGCCGGGAAATCACCCTCGCCATCTGCTCTAGAGCTAATCGTGTGGGGCGGCGTGTGGGGCGCCGCTTAGCCTATGGGGGTGCACTTCTAGTGGATGGGGGACGGGGGTGCACCTGCACCCCTTTCATATGGAAAGTTACTGCCCTGATTACAGCTCCCCGTATTGCAACTAATCAGGGAACGGCCAGCAAACGAAGGAACTATTTCTGGATGACAGGCGAATAACCGCTCACGCAAGGAGCGGAGCTCCGCCCCGTCCAAAGTGGCCAACAAAGCAGAGACAGAGGCAGCATCACATCTTCCATCAAAGAACTGGTTTCTGGCTTGGAAGATGAGCTCCATCTTTGCATCCGAGTCGGTGCTGTCAGGAATCAGCTGGTCTAATGGAGTGAGAGTAGTGAGACGACTAGCTATTGTATCAGAGCTGCCTGGTCTTCGTAGCATTTGCACCGATTCTTCTCGATCGGACTCTGAATTCTGTCCCTCCTGCGTATTACTTGAGGCATTGCTATGTAGCTAAGTCTTTGGCACAGTTTCATTATCCATGCTTTGCAAACAGTGCCATAACAACACGGTTAATTAATCACCAAGCTTCTTTGCAAGTTCCAATACAGTTGAATCGCACGCGATTTGAGTGCAAAAATCAAGAAAAGTGCCAACTTGTTCCCGTAAAATATTTTGAATATTGACCTAAAAAAATGAGTAATTTCCAGATAAAATAACAGCGAAATCAGTTTTCGCTTGCCAATAAAACTCACAGATATTGAAGCTCCATTATTAAAGGAACATTTTAGTATATGCCATTCATGATAAAACTTCTTAGCCACGCAATACCAGCGCAAAATAAAGAGACACTGAAAACACGACCAATCACTCCGATTTACCATAGGAAAATACATAGAAAATGTATGTCTCAACTGCGCCAAATATACAGACAGTTATATACCTACATGTGACGTCATGATTAGCCCGACCAATCAGAAGCAAGTTGTTTTTAGCCACAAATAATTAATTTCTGAACTAACTAGGCATTTTTTTAACAAAGTGATTTTAAATTAAATCATTAAAAATTCTGAGCTTTTTTATTTTACCAAAACATACAGAGCATGCAGATAGGTCCCAACCCTATTCCGATCCGGTTAATCGAATTCTTTCTCACGGAAATCCACTGTAACTATTCGAGGCTGCTGGAGAAAAGTCTTTCAAGATTTCCAGTGCGCATTTGTTGGTGTTGCAATACTGAGCTATGAACGTTATCGCAAAAGATCATTGATCATCGCCTATTGAAGACGTTACAGTTACGTCCAAAAACGCCCTGAAGATGATACAGCGGTCCCTTACTGAAGTTCCGTTATATGAGTGAGTTAATTTTTATCGTAACCCATCAGGATGGAACAACAAAGAATCATTATGTCCGTAGGTAAAATAAAATAGATAAGTAGATGACATTTTCTTGTCGTTTAAATTAAAGCCATTCTAGTCCTTTCGCTCCTAAAATTGCCTGCATTCACCTCGGTCTCAAGATCTGCACTCGGCCTTGGCTTCTCACCGGTTTGTTTGTCGATTGGTGGGAGGTGTCTGGCCAATGTGTTTGTTGGCTTTCAGCGGGTGTTTGTTTGCCGTTTGGACGTGTGTTTGCTGGTTCTCAACCAATGCTTGTTTGTGTTATTTGAGTTGGCCGAATCTGGGCTACCGGCTTACGCTTCATTGATCGGGCATGAGCCTTAGACCAATGCACTGTTTCACTGAATAAGTCTAAACTGGACAATGCTTAAGCTATTCAACGCCAATATTACGCAAACTTAAGAAAGAAATTGATGAAGAATATTGCAGGTATGTGATGTAGTCGAGTTCTAAACTTACTGATAACCAACATCTACTAAACCAGTATAACGCCTTTTGGGGCGACTAACGGAGCGAGCGAGAGGGTGGGCCTTGCACGTGCGAAATTGCGAGGGGGTACCTCCAACTGACTTGTGCACGGCACCCTACTAACTGGTCTCTAGCGATGTGCCAAATTTGGGCACAATCGGCCCAGCCGTTCTCGAGATCTGGAAGCGGCACCCTGCACGTGCGCACGTGCAAGATGGGTCCCAACTGACTTGTGCACGGCACCCTACTAACCGGTCCCTAACCGTGTACCAAATTTGAGCGCAATCGGTCCAGCCGTTCCCGAGATCTGGAAACGACCCCTGCACGTGCGCACGTGCAGCAGCACCCCAACTCTGGCACATGTATATGCAGTGCCTAGTGGGTGCCTACCTACATGCCAACTTTCAGCGCAATCGGCCAAGTAGTTACCGAGATATTGCAACAATTACAAAATTGACACCTCTTCGTTTTGCACGTGGCACGTGCATAAGGGGTCACCCACATGCATCGGGAATAGTCCAATACTTGGTAGAAGGAATGAAGCTACCCTACAAAAATTACCGCGTGTAAATCGGTCAGGTGGTTGCTGAGATATAAGCCTCGCAAAAGCGTGACCACGGCCGGCCGGCCGGCCGGCCGGCCGGCCGCTCATACTCAGAAATTTCCGTTAATCTAAGGAAAGACTACGCTCGCTTCGCTCGCTCCGTAAATATGCCTATCTGAAACCACCAGTCCAACTCAAAGGAAGCCAGTTTTATAGCAACACGCATTGATGCGTGATCATTGATCACTGATCTTTCAGGTACTGCATTCTTCGCTAAGTATGATTGATGCATACTATCATACATCAATCCTAAGTGACACTCTTCAATGAAGCTAACCTAATAACAGCTCATCACTGTAAAATGAAACTGAACTGGCATTTGGCGATGACAAGATTAACGACCGCAACTGATTTCATTAGTGATACTGTCGCTTCCAGATGTGAGAACCGCGTGTAATCAACACCATATTTGGCAATATCGCTGACGAATCGGGACAGTGATGACGTGTGTGATGAGTCATGCTTCAATAGATCGCACTTGCTTCTCTCTGGAATTCAGACGCGTGAGGTTTTAATCGGGTGATGATCGTTCCTGCTAGTTTTTTTTTGTCTTTCCGTGCAGAGCTGCTTTGCGTGCTTTGATAATTTGCAGGTGACTTTGATAGTGGAGTGGGATGAAAGAAAAATCAAATTCGTAGAGATAGATCAACGATGTGTGTTTCGGATGTAAGCGAAGTGCGCTAGGTCTGAAGGGAGAGTCAATCAGCATAATCTGCTTGGCATATCCGAATAAAATGTTTGGCAACAAGCATCCAGCTTGAAGAAGCTAACATTACTGTATTTATCATTTAAGCAAGAGAACCCCAAACATCAAAGAAACTGTGCATATCCTTGAACGACATTGCATGCCTCTATATTCCTCGATCTATTCATTCCTACTAGTTTGTTCTACCTTCATAGGAACAACTCCCCCATTCAGGGTAAGCGATTGACCTCAAATCTCTTGCTGAAAGCTCTTATTTGTTTCTGTCTGTGGCAGGCCAGCCAGTCTGCTGCCCAGCTCTTTCAAACCCGGAAATTTCAAACGGCAACGTTTGGATTGCGCTGCACTTGGAGAAGGTTTTTAATCAGCGGTGCGGAGCCGATCAGAAACTTGGACGCGGAAATGTTTGGTTACCTTGCTCAATACAGTCTCACAATGGCACATTTTGTCGCACGGTTTGTTCCTGTTTGTACGAACCGAATTGAAAACCAAAAAGCTTGCAGAATATGGTGACCTTTTAAGGTATCAGTTTGTTGAAGAAACAGTAAACGAATTATATTTTAAATTAACGTTTTAATAGGGCCTAACGTTACGGCACGAATTTTATCTTGTTGACCAAGAAGCGCTTCTCCGACGTGGCGGTTCTGCTTGACACATCTGTCCTGCTTGTCATATCTGTCGTATTTATCGTCCAACTAAAACATCATCTTCTCCCACAGGTCAGGACTTCAACTTCAACAAGATGACGGGAGAGGACGTGGACAGCCGCGGCCTTCCTTACGACTACGAGTCCATCATGCACTACGCGAGGAACACCTTCTCCAAGGTCTGTAGTCTGTTCATCCGCTGGGTCTAGCGGTCGGATGTCTTGGCTTTTTGTAGAGTCGAGGTGCAATTTTGTTGAGAATCGATAATGGGTGCTGGTTGATGAGACTTCAGCTACATATTTGTGAGAGTTGTAACCGTGAGCTGCCATAAAATTTTAATGGGTTTTTATCTATTTTTACCATTTTGCCTCATCGTTGGCTGCCTACATGTCCGTTCTGTACATAACAGCCAATGTTTTACCTGCGGGCTATCGCATGCTTCATTTATCTATTTTTCGTAATTTTCTAATGTAATTTTCGTTTAGATGTCTCTAGAATCCAGGCCTACAAGCTTGGAGTCATGGCTTAGACTTTGAGCAATGGTAATGCGACATCAATATCGTTCGCAATCATCAACTATTGTAACTTCTTACGCATCTCAATTTCTACGATTAAGTAGGTTTTGACAGACAACTTTTTATGTACCCCTTTTACCTATCCATAGGTAATTTATGTTCCCACAGAATAGCTACCTGGACACAATTCTGCCACGAGTCCGGCACGGACCCAATATGCCCCAGATCGGCCAGCGACTGAGGCTCAGCCAAGGGGATATCGCTCAGACAATGAGAATGTATAACTGCTCCGGTGAGTGCGGTTACATTACTGCCACCTGGCGATGTGTTAGAGAACTGAAGCTTTGAAGAGACTGGCTCTGTGAACTCTAGATTCTCTGAGTGTGATAGCCGTTAGTTGATTGTTTCTTCCTATAACTGTTATTCACACGCCTAAAATGTTGATTGATTTCTTATCTAACTTTTCACAGCGAATCGTATTAATACCTTCCCTAAGTTTTGATGGGTATACAAATTTGTCGCTACACTTATGTGCTAAAATGCACCACTTTTTGTCCGGCAAATCTACTATTGTTTACGCCTTATCTCGCGTTGCCATCTGCTTCCCGCCCTGTCTGAGAGCTCAACCAGCTCTCTTCACGGACCTTCTCTACCGTTTCAGCCTGTGGAGAGACGCTTCAAATGAGCAACGGCACCTTTAGCGCCCCTCCGCCCCAACTGAGGCCTAACCACGGTGAGGACGGTACTCGGGCGACAAGTGCCGCAAGGAGAGGGGACGGGTGACTGTAATTATAATCTGGTCAAGTATTGTATTGAGAGTACCTGTTCGTGGAATTTCATGCAGCTACTCTTAATACAAGGAACGTGTGACATTGGAACTTCAAACTATTGGCGGTAGGGTGATCGTTTAAATTAAGCTATATTTTTGTGGATAGTCAGTAGTCTTCTGTAGTGCAAGGAGTTCGATTTAAAACATACAAGAGTGAACATGTGTTTTTGTGTAACTCTTGAATTTGGTTAGGTCTCGAGCAAAGATGGCTATGATATATTTGGTTCGTGCAAGCTGTTTTAATCTTGAATACACTGTGGCCGTGTGTCTATTGGATATTTCAACTACCTGACCTGACCTGACCTCTCCCCAGGTCACTCCTGCGAGTGGCGCATCACTGCCACCCACGGCGAGCGTATCGTGCTCAACATCAGTGACCTGGACATCCACAGCAGTGACGGCTGTGAGACCGACTATCTGGAGGTGCGCGACGGCTACTGGCACCACAGCGCACTGCTAGGTGAGTTACCAACTCTGGCGGGGAGTTACACTGGCACCACTGTTCTCTCCTGGGTGAGTTACTTACACCAGAGAGGAGTTTTACTGGCACCACAAAGGCCCTGGTAGGTGAGATATTGATATACTGGAACCACAGGGCACTGCTAGATGAGTTATTGACATTATGGCACTACATGGCCCTGCTAAGTGAGCTATACTGGCACAACAGTGTCCTGCTAGGCGAGGTACTGACTACAAACAAACCTTACTAATTTACACCAAAGGAGAGATATTGGCTTCATGACGCTCTGCTAGACTATGACCTGATGTCCTCCCTGCATTATTCGGATTAGTTCGCATAAGATAAATGCGTAGCAACTTTGGCGCCATGGATTTGTACACTTTTAATATTTTTCTTTATTTGTGTGAAACACGTATTAAAATATATGGAACGTTTTATTGATGCGTCGTTCCAAGGAATCTTTCCTATTATATTTTACAACAGTTTGCTAGGGTGCATTTTATTTTCTTGCAGTCACAGACTTAGCATAACTCACGTACAACAATGCATCATGCTCCTTTTCAACATCCCTGAACACGCTCAATCTCTGAGTATTATTGTCAGGATGCAGTCCAATGTCATATGCCACGGTGTCTTCAAAACGGCAATAGGTGATGGAAATATCATTTTTGTTCTTCGTTTTCCTTCATATCGACTTAACGGCGTCTTGGTCCACTACGAGTCCTTGCTGTTGGTTTTGAGGGCGCTGGGGATCTCACGAACCCTTCGCGAGTACATGCCCATGTCCTTGTCCTGAAATGCAAAAAAAGTGCCGTGAACAATAACATCAATGATATCTAGAAAATATTATCAGGCATTATTAGGTGAGTATGTATGTGGTAGCGTTTGAAAGTGACAGCCATTGGAAATCCCACGCAAGTGTTGGCTACCATGTCATTGCTATCTATCTATGCATTGAGAAATAGTATTGTGCTTCGTGGATCGTGTGAGACGTGAGTCTTGGCAGTCCATGCTATTCATCTATAAGTAGCTGTATATCACTAGGAGTTCCGAGATAGGTCAACACTAAAGTAAAATTCACATTAGCTCTACGCTCACTTACATTAATTTACGACAAATTTACCCGGTTTGCTTCAGTGTAACTACAACTGTTTCAACACATTCTCCTATCATCAGACACCTCCATGCCTCCTGTTCTTCCTGACCTTGATGAATTTGATCATGGAGGTCCACCAGCTGTCGTGGATGTAGTTGGTGTAGAACTCGGGCGCCATCTTCTTCACCTCCGGAAGGTAGGAGCCGGGCACAGATGGAAAGTCGTGGTGCTCGTTATGGTAGCTGAAAGAAGGCAGAAGGGCGATTTTAAGAAAGTATTTTCGACACTTTCTTAGGGTTAACATTGTCACGGATGGGAGTATGAACCAACAGCCCAGTAAAAAAAAAAAAAAAATGGTTACAGAGGGCCCCGTGCCAGCCCGCGGGTATTTGAAAACTACAGACAGTAGCAAGCTACATGAGGTAAAAACAGCATTGCAGTTTGAAGGATGGTCTATCGAAATTCTTTTGTCATTTTCCCAAATTTCAAAATGGCTGTCATTAGATTATATCAAAGATCGTATCGTCCATTTCTCGACTACAAAACACCTCACCATATCGAGTAACGTGCTACCCTAAACAAAGTATAATATCTTCACATCTCGATGTGGTGCACCTATTGTGTAGTGTAATACCCCACGCACCCTCCGTTGAAGACGAACATGTTGAGCCATCCGTAGTAGGAGTACGTCTCGCTACCCTTCTCGTACAGGTAGTGGTCGGCGATAAAATGTGCGCCCAGAGGGTGGAAACCGAGAGTCATCAGCGAGCCGCCCAGAAGATAGAAGAACGCCTTGGCACCTGGGTGTACAGGTCAGAGGTCGTTAGGTCTGAGGCTCCTCTGGTCAGAGAGTAAGGAAGGAACACTACAAATTCAACAAATCCAGTCCTCTTGACTTAGTAGCAAACCATCGTACCTTATTATCGTCTCTTCTATTCCAATCTCATTTCCAGGATCATTTTCCCATTATCCATTTATTTTATCGTATTACCCGTTCTTTGTACATACATACTCCATCGTCCATCGCCATGCCCCATTTTCCGTTTCATCTACCGCACGATTCGTTTTCCTTGTCTCAGTACTTCTTTGTCACCCCCCTATAGTCTGTTTCCCCTAACCACACGATTCTTCTCCCCTTCTCCGCATGATTCATATCCGCTACCCCTGCTATCCGTTTTCCTGCCCATGACCCGTTATCCCTCTTCTCCCACTTTCCGTCTGGCCCCCACAATACCATCCATTTTCCCCTACCCCAGTAGTGTGCCACGGCGTAGTTGACGGCCAGAATCTGAAGAACGTTGACGACCTCCAGCAGTGTGGGTGTCATCGGCAACATGAACAGAGGTCTGACGTAGTAGCAGACCGGCTGAAGGATGCAGAACAGCACCTTGCCCAGAGTGGTGGAGAACATCTTGGCCTCGAAGTAGGTCGGCAGGTCGACGTCGTAGCGCCCATCGCCCTGGTACTGAACGGGAGAAATGGGGAGAGAAAGGATATGCTGGTGAAACTGTGGTAACGATGAATTGATCAAATGGAGGAAATTGCGAAGGCTTATGAGGTGAAACACTGTACATATGTAACTCAGGGAGTTTTATGAGGGGAAAGGTTTGGTGGGTACTTAGAGGCACAAAGTTAGGGTATTGGTATAAAACAGTCACAAGCAAAAATCAACCGTTTTATTTCAAATTTGTTTCAAACGCTTTTTAATGCCGTCGTCCAGTAATTCGATATAGAAATTCAGATAACTAAAAAACTACAAAAGAATAGTTGATGATTTTAGCCCTTTTTTGTCTGATGGTTTACATTCTATGTCTGTCAGATATAAATCTACCGGCGTCTCTCACTCACCCTATGGTGGAGCATGTGGTAGCGTTTGAAGGTGACGGCCATGGGAAATCCCACGGGGGTGTTGGCCACCATGGCGGTCAGGGTGTTGGCCATCGGGCGACTCCGGCCGAACAGGGTGCGGTGAGACGCCTCGTGCACGACTGGGGGCGAGAAAATGGTCAGTGGGGGACTGAAAAGGGTCAGTGAGGTAGTAAAAATGATCACTGTGGGCCTAAAAAGGTTTTGGAAGACTAATGGGTCAATGAGGGTGTAAATAAGGTCCAGTGGGACGCCTCGCGCACAGGTGGTGGATGAGAAAAAAAACTTGAATGTGACAATAAATTTCACCGACACGAAGCATAAGCTAAGAAGTCGTAACATTTCAAGCGAGTTAGCACGAAAGTTAGTTAGTCTGCTATCATTCAGAAATAAGCACACTGTCCGAGTAAAACACATTTTAGGTCTTATTATAGGGACACAAGACGTAGTTTGACTACTTTCATAATGTAATCGCCCATCTAAATCGCCGTCGAAACTCTCATTTCCTCCTTACTGGACCAGAGCAGGTGTGTCATGCAGCCGCCGAACGTGTAGGCGAGCAGCACCACGTTGAACCAGCTGGAGTCCTTGACCATGTAGGCGGTGACCAGCTGGGCGATGACGCACACGTACGTCATCACCACCATCTTGTAGTCCGTCTTGGCCATCAGCGACTTGATCTCGGGGTGTTTCTCTGTGATAATGGGCAGGTAGGGGAGGCTCAGGTTTTGGATCTAACGCCAGAACGGCGCTGACATTTTTTATATGCAATTTTACAATAATTGAAGATGTAATGAAATTTGTAATATTATTTGAAGTTAGGCGCGCTTCTTCCTAGGGAAAATATTGGTCCACTGCAGAGGGGTAGTATTTCATTTGGTAAATGAAGATCCGATCTTTAATGATCAACTCTTAAAAATGCGTGACATCCGCTACGTTACACCGCAGATCGTTCTGTAGCAGTGCATCTTATTCGACCATTTTGCCCGTCCATTGTTCACTGCACAAAAGTATCCCTAGATTATAGAAGATTCTAGAAATTCTAGAATATTAATCTAAATTTGTCTAGAAACTAAAATCTCTCACTGAATCTCCGACACTCACTGAGGATCTCCCTGCGTCGGACGGCGTGCGGTTCCTCGCTGTCCAGCTGCCAGTCGAAGTCCGTCAGAGACACCGACTGACCCATGGTGGCGCCGTGGTGGTCCTCCGAACGAGGGCTGCCGCCGTGGCTGACACTGCTGGAATGTAAAATGTTTGTGAGAATATTCTGGGGGGGGATATGGTAAAAATTTGGAGTTGGGACACGGACAGCTAAATGGTGATGATACGATATTATCACAACGCTGCTTTTTACCTCCAGGTTAGACGTTGTCTTCAAATCTATCTTTTCAGTTAGTTTTTTTTTTGGTCAGCGAACTATATTTTTTGATGGAAATGAAAAAGTTAGCATTTGTATTGTAACAATCCACGGCGCAGGAAAAGCGTAATCCTTTTTCACTATTACATATTCCAGTAATCAATTGAAGAATAGCCAACAAATGCGTAGCGCGTACGATTCTCTTACTCATTTGGAGCACGGCTTCTTCTCTTATCTCTTTACCTACCACCTCCTAAAGACCGATCATCATACTCTCACTGTGTACGCCTCGTCCCGTTCCCTTCGACCCGAGTCACCCACCGCCGCGCTCACCGCTCTGACACACAGCCAGGGTCGGTCCGAGTGGCCTCTTTATCACCTCTGTGACACCCATTAGAGGCGCATTAGGCCGTCACAGCCGGTCAAAGAGGGACAGCTGTGGCGCCGAGCAGACGGCAGTGGAGCAGGGTTATACAACGGCAGAGAACTGTTATACAACGGGCGAGAGAAAAGGTCGACTGATGTTTTGAAAACAGTTGCACCACTTTTTTCATCATTTGCTCATTCTATAAATTTAGTATGCCAATGGTGTTTTTTTTTAAAGTAAGGTTTTCTCATATTCTCACCACATTTGATAATAGTTCATTACGTACAATGTGTGGCTTAATTATTTCTCGCAGTACCGTCTCGATTCTCGAAGCCCACTGATCACGTTTTCCGCTTGATGAATTGATGATACATTATTTTATTAGCTTTATTCATGACACCAAGCATTAGCCGTTATGCCTTCCGTCGGGCAGCTGGCGGCTGATACGCAATAAGCCTATAGGCAATGCGGTACAGCATACCATCAGGCGCCGTCACTGCCTGCCACCTAGCGGCAAGATTGTAAGCTTGGCGGTACAGCCTACCTCCAGGCGCTAGTACTCCTGTTATCTAGCGTTAGAAGAATGAACCTTCTGAACGACTTCATTGCCGGAGAATAGCCGTTCAATGTTTCTGATTTTCAGTCGATTGAATGACTTGACGATATGCGTTGTACTTCCTTCCGGCTGTTACTTGTTACGGAGCGAGCGAAGCGAGCGTAGTCTTTCCTTAGATTAACGGAAATTTCTGAGTATGAGCGGCCGGCCGGCCGGCCGTGGTCACGCTTTTGCGAGGCTTATATCTCAGCAACCACTTGACCGATTTACACGCGGTAATTTTTGTAGGGTAGCTTCATTCCTTCTACCAAGTATTGGACTATTCCTGATGCATGTGGGTGACCCCTTATGCACGTGCCACGTGCAAAACGAAGAGGTGTCCGTTTTGTAATTGTTGCAATATCTCGGTAACTACTTGGCCGATTGCGCTGAAAGTTGGCATGTAGGTACGTAGGCACCCACTAGGCACTGCATATCCATGTGCCAGAGTTAGGGTGCTGCTGCACGTGCGCACGTGCAGGGGTCGTTTCCAGATCTCGAGAACGGCTCGACCGATTGCGCTCAAATTTGGTACAAGGTTAGGGACCGGTTAGTAGGGTGCCGTGCACAAGTCAGTTGGGACCCATTTTGCACGTGCGCACGTGCAGGGTGCCGCTTCCAGATCTCGAGAACGGCTGGGCCGATTGTGCCCAAATTTGGCACGTCGGTAGAAACCGGCTAGTAGGGTGCCGTGCACAAGTCAGTTGGAGGTACCCCTCACAATTTCGCACGTGCAAGGCCCACCCTCCGCTCGCTCCGTTAGTCGCCCCAAAAGGCGTTATACTGGTATAGGTATCATGCCTGTACAATTGAATCAATCGTCAGTAATTTAGCGTTAATGACCTCAGGTGTAGCACAGGTGGATCAAAGTTGTTCATTCAAAGCGCATCGCTTTCAGCGCTGTCAGTCAGCTGATCGCTGTTACACAATGGCTGTCCAGTGTCTATGCTGGGTCAATGTTGGATATTATTGCTACTGTCGTCGTGTATTTGTTTTGTGCTGTGATCGCTTTTGTCATTGATAAACCGCTGAGCTATTTTCAATTTACTCTACTCGAGTTTTCATTACTCTGCATTCTTGTTTATAAGATAGTCCTTAGTTCGTGTTTTCCTCTGCATGCCTTGTTATTCGTACTGGTCTTTTTCCTCCTCTATCTCCTTATCTCCATCCACTATCCATCCAGAGTGATGTCCACATCAGGCATTACCTAACTAACTGCCTAAGCCCTAATTCGACCCTCTCTGATCTGACCACCCAACTCTTACCCCCTCAGGTCGTTTCTGCGGCTCGGGCTCCGTCCCTGAACTGGTCGTCTCCACCGGCCGCCGTCTGCTAGTCACCTATGTGGTCACGGAGAGGTCGGCAGAGCGACAGGGGTTCACCGCCAACTATACAGGTATGGTGGAAATTGTGGGGTATGATATGGACATGGAATAACCGGTGGAGCTGTTGTGATTCACAGCAAACTAAATATTAAAACATGAAGCCATCGACGTTTTTTGTCCTTTCCGTTGTTACTAAAGTTCCACACAACTTGCAGATTCCTTGAGTCCATGGTAGGGAATAATTCTTCTACAATGAATTTTTAGCGCGGTTTGTGAACTACAAGCTCACGGTTTAAACACATATCTCAATGCAGTGGTGTGTAAAAACTACACTGATCAACTTTGCAAGATAGTAGCGCCTCTGCTGGGATCATTCTGAACCATTTATGACAATTAAGCGAATCAGTTGATTGTATTTCAATTCTCTCATTCTATGCCGTCATTTTTCCAGCCGTATGCGGCGGCGAGCTGAAGCTGCGTGAGGGCGTTCTCGAGTCCCCCAACTACCCCGACTACTACCGACCCAACCAGGACTGCGTGTGGCTGATCACAGTCGAGGAGGGACACCAGGTGGCCTTCGAGTTCACCGCCTTTGAGGTGGGTGCCCGCAGAACGGTAGGTGGAAAACTGATGATAGTGTGGAAGCCGTAGAGTTGAGAAATGCCTTGAGTTTGCTTGTTAAGTGATGAGTGCATTGCCTTCGTGGTGGATGCTCGCAGAACGGTAGGTGGGAAACTGACGAAAGTGAGGAAACCGTAGAGTTTGTATAAAAGTATGGACTGATAAGGTTTTTATGCGGGATGGGTGTTATTTGGTTAACGGTGACAGACTGAATGAGTGATCTCTCTGACTTTTTGCGAATATCTGATGAGTTTTTGCGTGGATGTTTGCAATGAAGTGGATTCCAAGTAGCCTTGCTTATTGGAGTTGGTGGTTCATGCTGTGATGCTGCAATCTACATAATGACCGAAAACCGCGTTGCTTGATGCATGTTTTGAGTCTCTGTCTGTGGTATTATTTAACCGAGCGTCCTGTATTATAGTCAGAACTGACGTTTTTCCGACGCTTGCATGGTTATGAGCTCGTTCGTGCTATTGTTCATGAATGCATGCAGATTATATTCAGATTTCGTAGGCCGTTCATAGGGCATTCGTGATATGTTGATTGGCAAAAAAAGACTATAAATATTGTCAATTACCATGCCGTGGTTCAATCAAATCTTCTATTGAATAAGACTTGCATTCCTCCTTAAATTATCACCAGATTATCACTACTCACTAGAAGAAATCGAATTATGGAATCTTATTGTCAACTCTACATACTGAATGTGTACTGTCTCTGACATACTTAACACCAACCTTTACACCCTCTGACAGCGCCTATTGTCCCCACACAGGTGGAAAACCATGACACCTGCCTGTACGATTATGTGGAGGTGCGGAATGGACCCACGAGCGACTCACCGCTCGTGGGCAAATACTGCGGGTAAGACTGCATCTCTAAATGTTCACGACTTCTCTCTGGTTCTGCTGTTTGATCGTTCGTTATTCGTTCTTTATTAATCCGTCGTTCATTTAGAATCCGTCGTCGTGTTTATAATACGTTAATATACTATTATTTCGATATATGTTTATGATTAAATGAGCATTCAATACAAGAAACAACATCAGTCAAGAGGGCAAACTTTCATACCAAAAATGTCTCGCCGTTTTAAACAAGCCAACAATTCGTAACCCAATAGCACAAGTCTCGCTCCTCCATGCCGCCATTTTGCCTCCAGTGACGTCATTTGTTTTATCCCCCCAGTTACCAGGTACCGGAAGCGATTACTAGCTCTGGTAACCACCTGTGGGTGCGGTTCGTGTCGGATGGCAGTGTCCCCAAGCCGGGATTCGCGGCACACTTTATGACAGGTGAGGACGACTGATGGGATGAGTAGGATGGTAAGGAATGGGATGGGGTGGATGAAGTGGGATGGGATGAGACACAATGGGATGGGATGGAATGGCGATGGGGTGGGAACGGGATATGATGGAATGAGACGTGCCGGGATGTGAAAATGGGTCGAGATAGGGCTGGAAGGCGTGGGACATGGTGGGTCAGAATGGGGTGGAAAGGGCAAAACGGGATGGGCAGATGCAAACTCCAGGTTTGCATGGGATTCGCTCGTAAACTTTTTTGCAAGGGTCTGGAGGATTATCGTGCATATTGCAGAAGTGGGAAAAGGATCCGTCTATCATCTCATCAATGCAATACCGACCACCGACCACTGGTCTTGAACACCGCCCCCGCATTTTCCACAGAGCTGGACGAGTGCTCGGGCCCGAACCACGGCTGTGAACACAACTGCGTCAACACGCGCGGCAGTTTCCGCTGCTCGTGCCGCATCGGGTACGAGCTCCACTCGGATGGAAAACGCTGCGAAGGTATGACAAATTTTGAGAAGTATGTAGTGCATAAGTGGGGTACTTGTAGTCAGACGCTTGATAGTCATTTGACATAATGCAATTGTACAGCACAGGAAGCATCTAGACTCCTTGTATATGGTAGCTACCTGACATATAAGGACGCATTGGGTCTGTAAGTCAAGTCTGGCTTTCATTTTGTTTTCTGTGCATTCTTGACTCACTTATAAACTCAACTTCTTACGTCACAAGCTTACTCCTAGCCACGTCTTGTTCATTCGTAGCTCACGAACTTATATTTCACCTGTTTAGGGACAATTTCAAAAAGTCAAGGGTCAGATTCAAACTGTGTAGTGCATTTGACACTGTCGTCTTAGTCTGTGCACTATGTAACCCTACTACACCGTTTCCTTCGAACAGAGTATAAGTTATATGAGTACTGCAGCCTCTGACCTTTTTTCAACCCTCCCTCCCACAGAGGCTTGCGGCGGTACAATCGAAGCCGACAACGGCACGGTGACATCGCCTTCCTTCCCGGACCTCTACCCTCGGAACAAGTACTGCATCTGGGAGCTGATTGCCGCCCCCAACCACCGGATCACACTCAACCTGACGCACTTCGACCTGGAGGGTAGCAACGTCAGTCACGTGAGTTGTTGGGCGACGTGGTAGGAATTAGTTGGACATGGGATGAAATAGGTGTCATGATGTCAACAAACATGGCGAGGTTTGATGTCAGATTGCTGGCTAAGGCTTCTCTTGTCAGTCATATCTTCATTTGTACACTCACCCTTCACTTCTAGTAATCTCCACCCTTCAGCTTTTGCTGCTTGTGTAAGTTTATGAGCATGTCGTCGAGAACGCATTTTTGACGGGAATAGCAAAGGAATCTCCGTTTCGTTCATTACAATTTAGATGCTCAACTTGTCCCAACATCGCTGTTTTGTAACCCATAAATGCGTTTTCAGTAGTAAATGTAAAGCAAGAAACTTGCTATGAAAGACGACATCAATGTTTGAAATGCTGTAACTAGGTTATAACCGAACGAAGCTACGCAGAGTACGCACCAAGCACCCTCTAAATGTATCCCCTTTGTCGTTTATAGCAAGAGTGCGACTACGACCGTCTGGAGGTGTCCAGCGTCCTCCCTGGCGGTAAGCTGCGTCCACACGGCACATTCTGCGGTAGTAATATTCCCCCAGCCATCTCCAGCGAGACAAACAAACTACAGCTGACCTTCCTAACTGACAGCTCCGTGGAGAAGACGGGATTCGCCGGAGTTTTCATCACTGGTATGAAGGAGGGAGGGAAGTGAGGGGAAGGGGAAGAGAGGGAAGGAGAGGGAGAGGGGAGGGGAGGGGAGGGGAGGGGAGGGGAGGGGAGGGGAGGAGAGGGGAGGAGAGGAGAGGAGAGGAGAGGAGAGGAGAGGAGAGGAGAGGAGAGGAGAGGAGAGGAGAGGAGAGGAGAGGAGAGGAGAGGAGAGGAGAGGAGAGGAGAGGAGAGGAGAGGAGAGAAGAGAAGAGGAGGAAAGGAGAGATAGGGAGGGACGGACGATCGGAAAGAAGGAGGGACAGGGAGGGGTAGGCAAACTAAAAGGAAAAAAGCGAAAAGAGAGGAAGGGTGTGATTTATAGTAAAGCTATTCAAATGCTCGGGAGAATACCTTATAAATATAATGCCGGATCAACAGAAGTTGTGCAACTAACGGTTATGATTACCTACATGAAGTTGGTTAGTGTATGAAAGCAACATTGGAGGCCTATGAATTACCAGTAGTGTCTCGTTCACACTGTTAGGTCGATCCTAAATCTTGGATCCCTTTGTCCGCAATTAATTCTACTAAAGCCCCATCCCTCCTGTACTGAGCCCCCCGTTCACTAAAGCTCTGTTCCCTCCGCAGATAAGGACGAATGCTGGGACGACAACGGAGGCTGCCAGCACCGCTGTATCAACACAATCGGCTCGTTCATGTGTGCATGTGACAACGGCTTTATGCTGCACGAGAACGGCAAGGACTGCAAGGAAGGCGGGTGAGTCGGCGTGAACCGTACTTTACGGCGGTGGCTGTACTTACAGTCCACAGCAGAAGTAATGTGGGTTTTCAGTCATGGGTATGTTCTGCTTCTGAAGCTTAGGAACGATTAGCCAGACTACAATGAAACTTTGAATGTAGCTTATATGTATCGTCACCCTTGCAGCTGCAACTTTAGCTATTGACATCTTCTTTTCGATCACTCCGCATTAAACAATCGCCAGTCAAAGCCAACCGTTGAGATTGGTAAAACCCTACATTACTTTAGCGGTGCGCTGTACATTGGTGTGTATGCCAAGTGAATGGCGTGCATTCGGCATCTGGAAAATGAGGGATAATTATCCCAGATCACCGGTAATTATTTGGTATTGCAGGGACCATTGATACAATTAGTCACTTTTTTAGACTGATTTTGCTTCACGAACGGCTATTTTACTCGTTGTCATGTCCGTTGTGCACGGTGTCAGCCTAAAACACTGAATGATCCCGGTGATCCCGGAAAATTATCCCTGATTATCGGGATGCCGAGCGCACGCATGATGTGTGGCTCTAGTTGTATTGGTTTTGATGGGCTTTGGAAGGATATTTTGATGAAAATAAGAGACAGCTTAGAGACAGATGGTGAATGACCTGAAGTGATTAAATTGTAGATGGTTCGCTATTCAATTGGTTTCATGTGTTAGACCTTTTTTGTGGTATCCAATCTGCTCTACAATGCCTGACCCAAGCCTGACCCTGGATAGGTGGCGACATCTGTAATAATTAGTTCCACCATTCGCCGCCAGGTGTAAGCACGAAATCGACACTCCGTCTGGCGAGGTATCCAGTCCGGAATATCCGGAGACATATCCGAGCAAAAAGGACTGCGTGTGGCATTTCAGTACCACTCCCGGTCACCGGATCAGACTGGTACGTACCGGATCATACTGACAGTGGCCACACCCATCCGTCGTTTCCATCCTCAGGACATTCAAATCCTTGTTCTCCACGCCGCAACCCCCCTCCGGGCTGGACAGGCAACTTTTTCTCACGCGGGCTGCTCCCTTGGAGCGGCTCAGCCCCGGCTCAGCCCCGGCGACTAGAGTTCTGCACGGCTGCAATTTTCCACAGCCTAGCCGCCCCGCAGCCGTGGCTCCACAGCCACAGCCGCCCACAGCCGTGGCAAACTGTGGGCAGCCAGCCGTCAGCCGGCCGTGGATACTTTCAATGAAATGCAACCAAATAGTACAAAATAAGTTGTTTTTAGTTGAAACATTTAGCTAAAAGCACATTGCAATGGGCTACAGATTCTCAAGCTCATGAAGCATCATAGGTTAAGTGGTTGTGTATCTGGCTTTAGGCTGAAGGCCTGAAGCCTGATGCGCATCGCATAGGTACCTAGGTACACAAGCCCTTGCAAGGGGTTAAGAAAGATGGGTAGGTAGGTAGGTATACCTACATCAACAGAAAACAAACAACGAACCAGAATAGAAGCACTAGCAGTGTAGACATCTAATGCCAAATCCTGAAGCATGGTTGTGGGACAGAACAACAGACTCTGATGCTTTTCATGATCAATGTTAGGTATGGAAAATGAAACTTGAACTGAAGTTGATGGACTGTCAAACAGTGATTGTCTGGTCAAAACTCTTGCTTCTTTCTTACCTTGCATTTTTTCTGGGGTGTGATATGCCAGGCTTGAAGCAGCCTTCTGAGCAAGTCTCAAACTAATTTGATATGCAAGGCATCAAAACACTAGTGAGCATCCAAGAAAGAACCACATTCATCTATTTTGATTTTTCCAAATAATGATCTTCGCTCAAATCCCCAAGGACGTGCGCGCCACAATTGCCTCTTTCAATTAAAAATTTTACTTGAGTTTTTAATGACGTCAATAGCAAAGAAGTGGCAATAAATTGTTTTGTGTCACTATAAACAGCCATAAAAATTATAACTAATAAATAATAATGCTGTACAGTTAAAAACTCGCTCTCAAACAAAGATAAATTATCAAATTTTAACATTTTCAGAAGAAGACGTCATTGTATTAGTAAAGTCAACAGCTCGCGTAAGAAATATTGTGTTCAGGGTTTTCACCGTCATGTGAATTACGTGTTCAGGGTTTTCACCATCATGTAAATTAGCCGTAAGTAAGGTTCATGCTCACTTATTATCTAATTTCATTGGCTTCGTTGATCAGCATTTTCTGTTAGCGGTCACTCACACACCAGTTAGAACATAAAGCACCAGTTTTATATTATGTAATTGGACTTGCCGAAAATCCAGAAATACATCTTACATCTAAGAGTTATTTTAGATAATATTTTATGAAGCCTTTACCTGCCCTTACCTAGGCGTGATTTCTTTTTTTATTACCTGAAAGAATCATTGAACGCTCGTCTTCAATAGCTGTAAGGTGCTCTCCTAATGACCAGGTGAGATTGATTTGAGAGGGATGTGACAATGCAACATGTTGCATTTTCTGAAACTGTAAAGTCTTGGTGATGAAGGAACATTTGGTACCTATAATTAGTATTCTGTACCAGAGTGCAAACTCCCCTACAGCAAATGGTAAAACCATTACAGGTTTTCAAAGGCTTCACCACTTTCAATGTTGCTGGGCATCCTTTGCATGATTTTTACAGGCTAGACTGCTTATAAGAATGTAAGATTAAGGATTTAAAATTTTATATTTGAGTACTTAAGATTGAGCTTGAAATCTCACAGCCGTGGCCACAGCCGTAGCCGTGTTCTTGGAGATATTTGCAGCCGCCCCGGCCCACAGCCGTGGGGCTGCAGCCAGCCGCGGCTGCAGCCGGCCGGTGCAGACCTCTACCGGCGACTCACTAGGGTGCCTGCCCAGACCAATGTCTCCCCCTATATCCTATCATCCTTCCGGCTCTGAAATGGTCTTGTCAGACCAAAAGGGCCTAACCCAACAAAACAAACAAACAAACGAAAAATCTGTCAACTAATGACGTCATTTGTTTTTTCCGTTCAGGTGTTCAACGAGTTTGACCTGGAGCATCACCAGGAGTGTACCTATGACCACGTGACAGTCTACGACGGCGACTCTGAGAACTCTACCGTACTGGGCACGTGAGTAACACCTACTCTGAGTTGGGAGAGAGCACCTCATACAGAAAGAGGGCTGAGTGGGCCCTTTGTCTTGCACCGTGTTTATATGCGTTCACTCAGTGAAGGAGGGGCAGGGTTATTGACGCGTATCATTCTATGATATGTTTGGTGTGCGATCTTCATTTTTTTTTGTCTTGTCTTGCCAGATGATCTCTTTTTACTGCTCTCATCGGGTAATGTGCATTTTCTTGTTCATGTTTGTCCGGTAACTGTCGGTTTCTGTCTCATTATAACCGATTGTCTGTAAGGTTTTGTCTCATTGTCATTGACTGTCACTGCCAGGGTCTATCTCACTGTCTTTCTGTGTCATTGCCAGGTTCTGCGGCGCCAAGACGCCCCACCCAGTGATCGCCTCCCGAAATGAGATGTACATGACCTTCACATCGGATGCCAGCGTGCAGCGGAAGGGATTCATCGGCACTCACAGTACAGGTAACGTTATGTTAGACGGAAACAGGCATCCGCAGCTCAGGTAGTGGTCAAAGACCTGGACAGGACATGTAGTGACTGCGTTCTGCAGCGCATGTTTATGTGTCTGTTTATGTAATATTAGCAACAAAGACCTATGAATATGTTTAAAAATGTGTTTGGCAATTAGCGAAATTTGTATTGTTGACTTTATTTGTGTTAGTCCGTGGAAACACACGCTATGTACGTTAGTCGTTAACCTTCGTATCACCTTCCTTGGCCTAATGTGTCACCTTCTAGAGGCAATGCTTATGAAGTCTGCTAGCGCGTATTGTGCCATAATTTTGGCCGATCAATAAATAACCTCGAAATAAGGTTTTGTGCGGCGGATACCTGTATTTCTACTGACCACTGTGTACCCCCGTGTACCGCAGTGTGCAGCGGGTACCTGTATTTCCACTGACCACTGTGTACCCCTGTGTACCGGGGGTACACAGTGGTACCCGGTACACGGGGGTACGGGCATAGCCCTGCCTCTTTTTACCGGGTATCTGTATTTCTAATGACCACTGCGTACCCATGTGTACCGGGTACCAGTATTTCTACTGACCACTGTGTACCCCTGTGTACCGGGTACCTGTATTTCTACTGACCACTGTGTACCCCTGTGTACCACGGCGCGTACCTGTATTTCTACTGACCAATGAGTACCCCTGTGTACCGGGTACCTGTATTTCTACTGACCACTGTGTACCCCTGTGTACCGGGTACCTGTATTTCTACTGACCACTGTGTACCCCTGTGTACCGGGGGTACACAGTGGTACCCGGTACACGGGGGTACGGGCATAGCCCTGCCTCTTTTTACCGGGTATCTGTATTTCCAATGACCACTGCGTACCCATGTGTACCGGGTACCAGTATTTCTACTGACCACTGTGTACCCCTTTGTACTGCAGTGTGCGGCGGGTATCTGTTTGCTGAGCACGAGGTACAACATCTCTACTCTCACGCCAAGTACGGAGATGAAAACTACGGCAATCGAGCAGAGTGTACCTGGACCATAGAGGCGCCAGTGGGCTACTATGTGCGACTCAGGTACGATAACAATCACCTGACCTGACCCTGACCCTGACCTGACTGGAGCCTGACCTGAACCGGATCTAACCCAATCTTACCCGGATCTGACCCTGACCTGACCTTTCCCTGACCCTGACCTTACAGCATTTCTGATTTGATATTAAAATCACCGAATACCATTGGGATGTCAATAGATATTAAGGATTTTGTAACTTTTTATCATTGCTTTTGTTTGCGATTTTCTTGACTTTTCCCGTAAAGCTGAGCATTCCCCATTGTTTTTATGAAGTTTCAGCACAAAAGCAGGGTGCACTGATGGATCAGATGATATCTTGCCAAGTATTGCCCTTTCGCTGTTTTTCACCAATGCTTTTTCTTCTCTCAATAGCTGGCATTTTTTACCATGTCTTCCTTGTAGGCTTCACGTAACGTCGCATACGTTACTTTAACGTATGCGTTAAAGTAACGTATGCATACGCTACTTTAACGTTTGCATAGTCATACGTTACTTTAACGTTACATTTGGTTTTGTGACAGGTTCCTGACGTTCGAGCTGGAGCATGAACAGGATTGTGGATACGATAACGTCAAAGTGGTGGACGGTTTTGACGAGACGGCCCACATGCCGCACAAGTACTGTGGTAACGAGGTAAATGTGATGTCATTGGATGACACGAGCTGGGGAGGAGAAGGCGGGAGGAAACTGGGGGAGGGAGGGAGCTGCAGGGGATGGAGGGAAAGATAGAGGGTGATAGGAAGGGTGGAGAGAGAAGGATGGGAGGGTGAGAAGGGCAGGAGAAAGGGAGGGGGAGATAGAGAATGCGGGGTTTTGGAGTTTGTAAAAGTTCAGAGAAGCTAGTAATGTATAATTTGTAGGTACCCTTATTATAGGAATTCTCCAACTTTTTAACTTTGTCTCGAATACATCCAGCGCACTCCGTTCAATGAACTCTCACGAATCTTTCATTCGTTACGCCTTTTCACAGCTTGTCTCACCATCTCACCTCCATTTTGTCTCACCACCTCCGTTTTTTCTTTCTTCCCCAGATTCCACCTCCGATCGTGTCCACCGATGAGGTGTTACGTGTGATCTTCAAAACGGACGACACTATGAACGCTAAAGGATTCTCGGCTTCCTACGAGATAATCGACGCCTACCAGCGACCAGATCTGGAGGGCAGCAAGAAACACTGAGGATTTGGCTTGGAGGGGTCGTGCTGGGATTTGCTGGAATGCGCATTCTGACATGTGATGTGTTGTTGTCATGATGGTATACAACTGAGGTTTTGGAATAACTTGGAAATCTGATTGAGGTTTGAGTTGGAACCGAGCTGGCAACGATGACATCTTAAGTTCGGTGTTTTGATTACGTCACTGGATTGATGTTTTAGTGATGCCATGTGATTGAAGTCTCCGATGATGTCACTGGTTTGAAAAAAGCGACGCTGTTCCGGAATGCGGAAGGACGCTGGAAGTTCTTTTGCGTGAAACCCTCAATGCTGGACTCTGTAAACACCAAGCTGACCTCTGTCGGTCGCTTGTGGTACTTCGCCGAAAAGTCCTGTATCCATCGCACGTGAAAGAATCGGAGACGCAAGATGCGTCGTGAGTGTACTTATTGTCCAACAAGACCATGATGAGTGCTTGGAAAGAGCGAACACGGAACGGCACAGATGGCGCTGTCTATTGGTGGGAGTGGATTTGGACGTGATGATGTATGTAAGCCCATGGTCAGCAGTTTCACGGTCACTTCACGTCTTCTAGATATATTGGTCTGATGAGACGAGATAAGAACGCTGTCTTCTTTGCTGATGTTTTAGAGGACTGATGAGCTCCGTCTTTAGGAGTTTATTTTTAGCAGTGACGAGTGTTGCGTTCAATTGCGACCCTCGCGGGTCGAATCCCGTCGCATTTGTTCCGTTGTGTGCCACTTAGCGTATTCGCTAATGTTTGATCAATGTTTTAAATCAAAATTAAGCCGGTATTACCACCCTCCTGCTTCGTTTTTGCGACTCCCTAGCTGGTAGTCAGCTGTTGGGAGACACTGGGGGAGGTGGTAGATGGGGGGGAGTGTAATGGGATGGGGTAAGGAGGTACCAGGTTTGTGCCAAACCCTGTGTCAAACCCTATCGACTGAGTGTGTAGTCGACAAGGTAATATCGATATAGATTTAGTGGATAACTGTGCCATGTCATGTTTATGTTTAGTACTAATGTGTCATGAGAGTCGACTATTTGATCTTTTAACCGCAACGAGCGGGGTATGTGAACTATAAAGATCGGAAGATCGTATCGACAAGGCTCGGTTATATTGCAGTGGTGTCTCTTCGTTCAAACTATTGCGCTTTTCCGTGCAAGACATTCTTCTGTCAAAAAAAGAAATAAATAAGAAAATAATCATTCTGAAAAAGAGTTCCTCCTCAAAAACGTGGCGTCATAATTTGGCCTAAACCACTCTTTCCTTCCTGCGCTGAGGATCTTTTGTATCCAATATTCCTAAACTAGGCAGTCATAGTTGTGAATCTTCGCCTCACGGGTTGGTTGGAACGGTAGATTCAAGATGCACAACATCATTATCAATTTGTCTTTGCGTGAATAACAATCCTCTGTCCTAGAGAGACTGTTTGTTATGTCGATTGGTGAAAAGCGGCTCTCATGAGTATACAAGTATGCCTTCTCGTATGTTCAACGCCCGTCTAAAATATCTTACGAAAATCGTGTAATGCCTATGTAATATTTTCAGTAAACCACTCGCTCAAGTTTCGATGTGTGACTTATCTGGTATTCCTTTCCGTTTTTCATATAAACATGTCACGGACAAGGCTGTTCAAGTACATTAACCCGCGCCCTGCTGGGGGGGGGGGTGTTTGAACACCCCCCCTTGTGGTTTTTCGCGAATATCTCAAAAACGGCGGCGCGGAGCGCCGCCGTTTTTGGTACACCTTATCATACATCAATTCTACACATGTTGTGAAAATTTCAGACCAAGGTCATTCAAGGTCAGGTCACCAAGTCACTTGAAGTGACCTCACCTCATAAAAAGTTTCAATGTCTGTCATAGCTACACCGAGTGACCGATTGCTTTGAAACTTTCAGCGATTGCTAAGAGCAATGGCATGTACAAAACGTATATCTCAGAATTTTAATATCGTTGACCTAAGGTCAGGTCAATTTTGCGACCTCCCCATTATAAGTCAATGGGAGAAAATTGAAATGCGCCTCTTTTGGACGAAAGACATTATAAACACTCCCAAACACTGAATTACAAGTAGTTTAGACACACTGAACATGAAAATGGTGTCCGTGACCCCTGTTTATGCCCTGAGGTCATCTTAGGTCACGAATGGTATCTAACAGTTTTTCGCAAATAACTTTTGATAGAGGCATGCTAGGGCGATGAAAACGCCTTAGATGTGTTCAGCTCGACGATACGGATCGACTGATATGCAACATGACCCTTTCTGGTCAGGTCATGACCTTGACCTGAGGTCAAATTTTCAAGTTGACCTTTCAAGGTCAAGTTATAGTTCATTCGATGCGTCTTGACGAGAGGAACACGATGCCGGTAAAAGTAAGCTCGTACAAGGCTTGGGTCAAAAGTTATTGCAGAAAAACTGTTTCCGAAAAAATCGGCTATTTTTGCAGTTTTTGCCCCCTGCAGGCAAAACCGTTGACGTTAGGTCAAATCTGAGAAAATTACTCAGAAAGGGCGTTAATAGGGCTATCGAATGCGCTTTTCCGCGGCGCTGTAGCTCTTTTGGTTCCCGAGTTATGCGTTGGCTTCTTGGAAATTTTCGACATTCGACCTGGAAATCGGCGAAATTTTGCATTCAATGACCTCTGGTGACCTGACCTTTGACCTGAGCAAAAAATTGACCGAAGTGATTTCCTCATTATTTTTGACGCTCTTTCGAACGCCGCCTTCCGCGTATCGCTACGTGGCCCAGGAGCCGAGTTAGAAGGGGGGTGTTCAAACACCCCCCCCAGCAGGGCGTGGAAATCCAGGACCCACAGCCGGGCGCGGGTTAATTTTAGTCGTCGGTGGCCTCTGCTGGTCGTCATTTGTGCTGTATAAATACAATCTAATAATTCGATTTTGTGTGTTTACTGTTGACTTGCGTGCCGCTTTGGTATTGCGCGAATCGTGCTATTCTTCACCTGGAGCTCGATTTTTTATTGCTGCTGTTCTATTGGGATGAAAAGGGTAGGCAATCAAAATCGAAATAAGGTCGGAGGGATTGGCCCTTCAGCTCGTGTACTGCACTCACCCCCGAAAGGTAGCTTTTATTATATTTGGTCAGAACCAACTAAGATAAACTTTTTTCCTTAATTGCTAAAAGATAATGAAAACATACTAAAAGCTAGCGAATAAAAGGCGGAATGGCAATGTAGAAAAACACCAACGAAATTGTCTATACGTTAAGACTGCAACACCTGCTCGCCAAGAGCGTCATTTACCTAAAATGTGCTTGACTGTGAACTCATTTACAAACATATTCGAAATTTATAACACAAAAACGCATTCACGTAGGCCACCCAACACACATTACACAATAGGACAGTATCTGCAACAAAGAACAAATAAAGACTTGCCAGATTGCTGCGTTGTCGCTGTTGCTGTTGGAAACGAGATCTACCGGTCTGATGTGGACAAGACAAATACAAAGATATGTAGGGTGAGGTTGCTTACTAGCTACCCAATTAAATAAAAATGCCCATTTTCTTATCCAAACCGTGTATTTTTGTGCCATGTCTGATGAAAGCGATGCACGTTTAGATGATGCACCTTTTTTACTTTGAATCGACAATCATTTTTCAATTGATTGCAGCCTTCCCGTAGTGAACTCTTGAATGTCCACTGCATGGTTGTTAAAAATGTATCGCAGCCCATATTTCCTCTTTGCCCCCGACATGGTCGCATATACGAGTATAGGGTGTCCCAGAAGTCTTGAAGCTTTTTTATTTTTGTCGTGTGACCTTGCTATGCCACCGATTAAGGCAAATGACGCCTCAAACGAAAGAGAAAGAACTGAAATTTTGTATTTTCATGCGTAGAGCACCACTTTGGTCAGGTGGCTCCCGTTGTGAGTCGCACAAGATTGAGCACGAGAGATCACGTTCTTCGCTGCCGCCAAGATCTCCCGGTTTGCGAAACACCGGTGTCGCCATGCCCGTTTCTGGTCAGCTTCAGAGCCTCATTTCATGAAGCGAGCCAGCCGCCAGGAAACAGAGTATTGGATCTCCGAGAAAACATTAGCAACATAATGATTTACTGATCAGAAAGTCTCCTGACATGTTTGCATGCATCCATTACGGAAATAAGGCTCAGCTGCTTGAGCACGCTAAGCAACAGCCCGTTGTAATCCTTTGATTCGTCGCATTATTATGGGGTTAAAACAAATATCAACCCGTCGGAAATATATGTCGCTAATATTATGTCGCTCGCTTCAGGGAATAAGACTCTGAAGCTGACAAGAAACGGGCATGGCGACACCGGTGTTTCGCAAACCGGGAGATCTTGGCGGCAGCGAAGAACGTGATCTCTCGTGCTCAATCTTGTGCGACTCACAACGAGGGCCACCTGACTAAAGTGGTGCTCTACGCATGAAAATACAAAATTTCAGTTCTTTCTCTTTCGTTTGAGGCATGATTCGCCTTAATCGGTGGCATAGCAAGGTCACACGACAAAATTAAAAAAGCTTCATTCAAAGCTTCATTCAAAAGCTTCATTCAAAAAGCTTCAAAAAAGGGAAAATGTGATGGGTTGCGTTGCTGAAGCTTGCGATGTGTAGCGGTTGATACCAAATGTCATGGCAGACTGCAGAGGAGCCGAATCCAGCGCGGTCCTCGAATACAATGCGGGATTACCTCCAAAAATGGTTTTTCGCCTTATTTTCGCCTTTGGTGCATTACGTGATCAGCTTCCACAAACGCTGGCTAAATGCTCCTGTTCCATTGACGTATATGCTATGTCTAAGTATTTTATTTCCTGTTTTCGAGCGTAACATTTTTTGCCATTTGTACTACCCATGGTGAAACCCATAGACCTATTAGCGACTCTCACTGGTCGCTAATTTGAACATGTTCCCTATAAGCGTTTTTTGCAATGGTTTGCCAAAATACTCACTATAAAAAATTTGTGGATATCGGGGCAGAAAATGCATAGATCCTGATAGGAAAATGAACGATCACTCCGAAAATCAATTCCCAGTTTTACAGTGGCACCCACAAAGCGTGACCAGTGACGGTTCAAATTAAGGGGGTCGCTAATTAGGCATCTTACCCTAATGATTGTATAAATGCTTAGACTAAGGCAGGGGCTAAAAGAAAGGGTGTCAGGGCCAAAGACATACTCGGTGAACTAAGGATAAAATCACTTCAAGATCACTCGTAACTTGTATAAAAAACGATATTGGTTCTTTAACTCGTAGCTTAGGCAGCAGGCTTTCTCTTGACCACAACAAGCCCGACTCTTCCCTCCCCATCCATCTTTGCTCGACAATGCGCCTGTTCATGTCACATCCATTTTCCCAGCCCTCGAGCTTTGTAACCGTCCTTGGACGCGCTGGAGGATCGTGACTTAGAGCTGGCAGCTCCTGACGAAAACTGTCCCGTCAGAGGGCCGGTAATGAACCCAGTAATTAACCCATCAACGCGCACAAGGTCAGGCCACCGGGAGGGAGCAACTGTTGAAATTGCCGCGTTGGAACACAATGGGGCCGGAGTTTCATGCGGTCATGGTCTGGGTCTAGCAGCGTCAGTGTAATTTGTCTTTTGTCTTTTGTTTCCAAGTCTTTTCTCTCTCTCTCTCTCTCTCTCTCTCTCTCTCTCTCTCTCTCTCTCTCTCTCTCTCTCTCTCTCTCTCTCTCTCTCTCTCTCTCTCTCTCTCTCTCTCTCTCTCTCTCTCTCTCTCTCTCTCTCTCTCTCTCTCTCTCTCTCTCTCTCTCTCTCTCTCTCTCTCTCTCTCTCTCTCTCTCTCTCTCTCTCTCTCTCTCTCTCTCTCTCTCCTCTCTCTCTCTCTCTCTCTCTCTCTCTCTCTCTCTCTCTCTCTCTCTCTCTCTCTCTCTCTCTCTCTCTCTCTCTCTCTCTATCTCTCTCTCTCTCTCTCTCTCTCTCTCTCTCTCTCTCTCTCTCTCTCTCTCTCTCTTTCTCTTTCTCTTTCTCTCTCTCTCTCTCTCTCTCTCTCTCTCTCTCTCTCTCTCACTCTCTCTCTTCACACCGAAACACTCAGTTCAGACACCAAATGCGACGAGCGTTGTAACACTTGTCCTTCTCCATCAAACGTGCTCCGTTTTAAGCACATTCCTCGCCTTAGGGAACACCAGAACTATGTTTCACGAGCGACTCTACCATGATTAACACGAGTAACTTTCACGTCGCTAACAAATCGGTGTCAAAATTGCGTAACGACGCTGTTCACGCGGGTAATCGGGTAATTACACACTAATAAGGATATTGGTGTGGTGCTCGTGATATATTATGTGATGAATGTATCGTGTTTGGGTGATTGAATGATTAGGCGATCGTGATTGTCAGTGAGTTCGGGTTAACTGTATGATCTCCCTCCCCCCCCCCCCCCACACCCCACCGAACAGCGAAATGTCAGCTGAATGTGTTTTTGAGGCATTTTAGCCACCGCTTAAACGTTTTTATAGGTTAAATGATTCAGTGGTTGAAGTGAAATAAAAAAAGTATATAATATACACCTTCTGGAGCAATGCATCACAGTTCTTTCTAATATGAATCATCCCTTAGACCGAAGGGTCATTCTGGAGCAGTCCATTTTCCCACCTTTGTGCCCCACAGTTCATAGCCCTTGCGTCCTCAGTATTTGAACTATGACTCAGTAGCGGCGGAACACCTTCAATCAAAGGGGGGCACTGCCTACTTTTGGTCCCACTCTTTCCATGCAACGCCCACAGGGCTAATGTTAAAATGCCAAAATCAAAGGAGGGCACGGTGCCCCGGTGCCCTCCCCGTTCCGCCGCCTATGCTATGACTCATCTTCCCACCGGGCCTATCCGGGCCGGGTGTTTTCCGTTGTCCGTTGGTATATACGGGTCGGGGGTCGCTACTCGCTTCCTGTGGGGCTCAGGGGAGGCCTCCCCTTCCTCCCCTCCCTCCCCAACGCACCTGGACCCTTGTCGGCCACTTCCGCCGCCTGACCGACCCAAAGCACGGGAACTGTGGGGATGTCTGGGTTACCGAGGTAGTCTCTGATGATGGGAGAATTGTTGGAATATGGTGCGGTTTACTTGCAAGTACGTGACTCATTAAGCTTAATTGTTCAGCTGGCTATGTTGGATATGTGGGATCAATGACTCCAAATGAGTCATGTATCCATTTACTTCGTTAGCTGAAAGACAGATCCTTGAAGTTGGACCATTCGTAAAGTATCGAATGTGTCAGCCCCGTTTCCTTTTCTTCATTTTTTGTTTTATGTAAGAAGTGTAACTAAATAGAACATTTGCTAAGGGAACCAACGCTTCTGCTTCTTTTTAGAAGAATAATTGCCATCAAAAGCTCCCCACGTTGAGCAAACCCGATCGAATTTTAGAGCATCTGACTGGCCATCGCAGTTAGTACCCCCGCGACTGCGCGTCAGCTGACGGCCGCTGCGGCTGACTATCGGTACGAGCCGGTCCAGCCGGCAGCCGCCCGGCTCCCGTGTTCACTATCGTACCGGGCTCGGTACGGGTCGGGTCGGGGAGCCCGTATTACGGAGTGATGTTCGGTGATGACCCAGTGTCTGTCACTCGGCGATTGGTGATAACGTGAGCTGAGAGAAGTGACACTCGTGAATCGTGATTGATTATGTGAGCTAAAGAAGTGACAATCACCGAGTGAAAAGTGAGCTAATCACCTGGCAAGTGACAACGGATAGTCTACGTGTGACGACTGATCAAAACACCAAAATATCTGTCAGTTCTAAATTCTAATGCGAGCTAAGGAGCTGAGCCAATAGCCAAGTAAGTCAAGAACCCAGCGGGTGAACCACACGGTGCGTATAGTCTTGAATGGTTGTAGTGCTGTCCGTAAAAAAGATAAGACGGCATTGAAGTGAACTTGGGTGTGGTTTCACGACATCTCCACC